ACTGACCATTACTTAATCAATTAAGAGTTCAGCATATCGTTCTGAATCTTGCTGAATTTTTCCCATAGTGACATATGTTCACACTTCAAATCATAGATTGCATCCTAATAGGAATTTCGAAACAATTTAAACATGCAACTTTTAGTAGACATTCAGAGCTTTCAAATGGTTGTGGTTTCAAGGTAATTGGACACCATTTGATCTGCTAAAATCTTATTTCAAAAGCATGTAAATTCCTTGGAAAATCCCAGTACACTCATGGCACATTCTAAAGACCACTCCGTAACTTCAAACTCATGCAAGATAATAATATGAAACCTTTTCTATCTTAGGCTAGAGTCACACAAGCATCATTCCACAAAATTTAAGGATCCACAAGAGTTATAATAGTGCCCAACTTGTCATGCAAAGAAGACTTCATTGCTGGAAAACAGAACACAACATACATGCTTAATATCATACTTTGTTAATAGAAATTCACGCTTAAATCTCGTACTTTCAATTTTATGCTGTTACAACTTGATGCAAGGGGGTAAAAATTCACTTACACAGCCAACAATGGTGCCCTCAAATCTTTCTTCTACAATCCTTCAACTTCAACAATGGCTGCTCCGAAGTGAGGGAGTGAACTTTCCACAAAACTTGCCTTAGAGAGAGAGATGAGAGAGAGAGAGAGAGAGAGAGAGAGAGATGTAGAAGACTGAAAAGTGAAGGACGTGAGGGAGAAGGAAGGGCTTAAGTATCCCCTCAAGTGGCAGGTGGCAGTCCAAGCTGACGGGTGGCAACCAACTCCCATGCAGTTGGACAAGTGGCGAACACTTAATCATGCTTGGCAGTGCTGCAGCCGGCATTCCACAGCCGATGCTACGCACATGGCGATGCCTCTTGTTCACTCACGGCGTTGCGTTCTTGCTGCCATGCGCACACTACTGTGCTCTCTTCTGCCATCGCGAGCTTACTACCGCCGTGCGCTTACTACCGTCACACACTCACTATCGTCGTGCGCTCATTATCTTCATGCACTCACTATCGTTGTGCGCTCATTATCACTGCGTGCTCACTATCCCCGCGCGCGAAAGTTGGGGTCCTTACATCATCCTCCCCTTAAAAGATTTTGTCCTCAAAATCGTCAATCGAATAAATGTGGGTACATAGCCCGGATTTCATCTTTTTGCTCCCACGTTGATTCTTCCCTCGAATGATACTGCCATAAAACCCGGACTAGAGGAATCTCTTTGTTGCACAAAACTTGAACCCTTCTTTCCAGAATCTCAATTGGTTGCTCAACATAAGTTAAATCTTCTCTGATCGACATTGGTTCATACTTCAGGATGTGGGACAGATCGACCTAATGGTTTCTCAGCAGTGAAATATGGAAGACATCATGAATATTAGCCAACTCGGGTGGTAAGGTCAGTCGATACGCCGCGACTCCGATTCTCTCTAATATTTCAAAGGGTCCAATAAATCATGGATTAGCTTCCCTTTCTTGCTGAACCTCATAATTCCCTTTATTGGTGACACTTTCAAAAAGACCCGATCACCTACTTCAAATTCAAGGTCCTTTCGGCAATTATTGGCATAACTTTTCTGTCGACTCTGAGTTGTTTTAAGCCTTTCTCAAATTAAGGCGATCTTTTCTGATGTTACTTGAACAATTTTCAGTCCTAACAGTCTCCTTTCGTCAACTTTTTCCCAGCACATTGACGATCTGCATTTTCTCCCATACGCGTCTTCAAAAGGTGCCATTTGAATACTGGTCTGAAAACTGTTGTTATATGCAAATTCTATTAAAGGTAAGTGATTGTCCCAGTTTCCTTTAAAGTCTGTAACACATGCCCCCAACATATCTTCTAAGGTCTGAATTGTCCTTTTAGACCGTCCATCAGTCTGGGGTTGACAAGCAGTACGAAAAGTGAGTTTTGTCCCCAAAGCTGATTGTAGACTACTCCAAAACCCTGAAGTAAATCTAGAGTCCCTATCAGACACAATACTAATAGGTACTCCATGCAGCCTTACTACTTCCTTGACTTACAGTTGAGCCAGTTTGTCTAGGGTATAGGCAGTGCAGACCGGTAAGAAATGTGCAGCCTTAGTTAATCGGTCCACGATAACCCAAACATTGTCATGTCCAATGCTTGATCTTGGCAATCTGGGCACAAAGTCCATAGTGATGTTCTCCCACTTGCATTCAGGCACATGCAAGGGTAGCAATAGCCCTGTAGGTCTCTGGTGCTCAACCTTTACTTGCTGACAGGTCAAACATTTAGAAATAAATTGTGCCACATCCCGCTTCATATTATTCCACTAGAAATTTTTCTTTAAATCCATATACATTTTTGTACTTCCTGGGTGTACAGTGAAACTGGAGTGGTGTGCCTCTTCTAAAATGACTCTCTTTATATTTTTGTCATTTGGAACGCATGCTCATTCTTTAAATCTTAATAGATCATCACTGTTGACAGAGACATTATCCTTTCTTTCCTGCTTGAAGTCTTCCAAAATTTTCATAAGCTGGGGGTCTATCTTTTGGGCTACCTTGATCTGTTGAAAGAGCTGAGTTTCCACTCTTATACCCGCAATTGTTCTTAATCCAGAACTAGAGGGTAGTGTCGGGCACCACTCCACTGCATCTTCTATCAGTTTCATCTCTCAGGCCATCAGATGTGCTATTGATATCAAGGGTTTTTGGCTTAAAGCGTCGGCTACTACATTTGTCTTGCCCGGTTAGTAATTGATGGTACAGTCATAATCATTCAATAGGTCCATCCATCTCCTTTGCCTCATATTCAACTCCTTCTGCGAAAATAAATACTTGAGGCTCTTATGGTCTGTAAATATCTTAACTGGGCCACATAGAGATAATGTCTCCAAACCTTCAAGGCAAATATCACGGTCACGAGCTCTAAGTCATGAGTTGGGTATTTTTCTCATGCAGCTTTAATTGTCTAGAGGCATAGGTTATAACTTTCCCGTGCAGCAGTAGCACACACCCCAGTCCCTTATGGGAAGCATCAATGTAGATTACAAAGCCTTCGTTTCCTTCGGGCAAGGTTAGTATTGGGGTCGTAGTCAATCTCCTTTTTAATTCTTGAAAACTCTTCTCACAATCATTTGACCATATAAATTTCACTTCCTTTTGAGTTAGGCGAGTCAAGGGAAGCGCTATCTTTGAGAAGCCTTTTACAAAACGCCTATAGTATCCTACCAGATGCAGAAAACTACAGACTTCCGTCACATTCGTTGATCTTCTCCATTTTAGTATGGCTTCAATCTTACAAGGGTCAACCGCGACCCTGTCCTTCGAAACAACGTGCCCAAGGAAGGCCACGCTTGGATGCCAAAACTCACTTTTCCCCAACTTGGCATATAACCTTTATGTCTTCAAGGTCTGGAAAACCATCTTCAAATGTCGTTCATGCTCTTCTCGATTCCTTGCGTACACCAAGATGTCATCTATAAAGACTACTACAAAGTCACCTAGAAAGGGTCTAAAAAACCTGTTCATCAGATTGATAAAAACGGGCAGGGCATTAGTTAGTCCAAACGGCATCGCTAAAAACTTGTAATGACCGTAACGAGTCCTTAATGCGGTCTTAGGGACATCTTCTTCCTTGACTCGCAGCTGATGATAACCTGACCGAAGGTCAATATTGGAAAATACTTGAGCCCCTTGGAGTTAGTCAAATAGATCATCAATTCTTGGTAAGGGGTACTTATTCTTCACAGTGACTTGGTTCACCTACCGATAATATATACATAACCTCAAAGATCCATCTTTCTTTTTAGCAAATAGGACGGGTGCACCTCAGGGTGCAACACTTGCAACTGTTCTTTTAATTCCTTTAGTTCAGCTGGGGTCATCCTATAAGGGGCTTTAGAGATGAGGGCAGTGCCAGGGACCACATCCATCTCAAATTCTATTTCTAAGACTAGGGGCAGAGAGGTTAACTCTTCGGGAAAGACCTCTAGATATTCTCTCACCACCGGTATTTTTTCTAACTTAGACCGGTCATCCCGATTTTCACTATGTAAGCTAGTTACCCAACACATATTTTAGTCAATAAACGGGAAGCCCTAATAGCCGAAATAAAATGCAAAGGGGAAACATCCTTGACGCTAAAAAAGTTCAACTCTAGCTGGTTAGGGCGTCTAAGGGTTACAGTCTTATCATGACAATCTACAGTAGCATGGTGTGTGGATAGCCAGTTCATGCCTAAAATAACATCATAGTCTTCGATATTTAACAATATTTGATCTATAGGCAGCACACACCCTTCAAGCAGAACCCCACAATGTTTAAAAATAACATCACTTTCTAAAGATTCTCCCATAAGTGTGCACACTACCAATGTCCAGTTAAGCAAGTAAGGTCTAGCATTTATGTGGCATGCAAAGTGAGGTGCAACAAAAGAGTGTGTTGATCCAAGATCAGCTAGGATTTTTGCTTCAATGCCACAAACGAAGAGCATACCTCGGATAACTAAAGTTGATGCCTTAGCTTCCTGCTCAGTAAGAGCAAACACCCGACCTTGAGTCTTTGGTCGGTTCTTTGATCCCCTGGCTGGGGAATCTCTAATATGGTGGCTTGGCTTGCCGCACCTAAAGCACGCCCCAGTCTTCGTTCAGCAATCAGCCGCCGAGTGATTATCTTTCTAGCAATGTGGGCACGTTGAGCGCCAGTTCTCCCTTATGTCGCCCTGCAAGGTCCTTTGAATCTTCTTACTCCTCGAATTATCTCTTCCCTTGAAGTTCCTCCTTGGGGGCAGTCGAGCCTTTCTTTCCAAACTTCCAAACTGAGCTGTGCCCATCCTACAGTTTCCTCTAACTCGGGACTCTTCACAATCCCTCTCAATCTTCATGGCCAAGTCTACCAATGGGGAGAAGGTTTTAATATTTGTTGATATCACCCTCCCCCTTATGTTTGACCTAAGACCCCTCTCAAACTTACTTACTTTCCGCGCCTAAGTATTGATGATATGTGGCGCATACCTCGACAACTAAACAAACATGGCTGCATATTGTTCCACAGTTAGATTTCCATGTTGCAGCTTGATGAATTCTACTTCTTTTCTTTCCTGAAAAGAATCAGGAAAATACTTCCCGTTGAAGGCTTCAAGAAAGTTTCCCCAATTTTCTTCCGTCGTTGCTTCCTCCCAAGACTTCTTCACTAAGCCCAACCAGTGCTCTGCATCTCCCTCTAACATAAAGGTCCCCAGTCTGACCTTTTGTTCTTCTGTACATTGTAATACCTCGAAGATCTTCTCTATCTGCCTTCTCCATCGATAAGCTTTCTCTACTTCCCCAAGCCCCAAGAAAGTCGGAGGAGCCGGCCTCCTAAACTTCTCGATCAAGCTGCAGTCATTTAGATCTGGGGTGGGGGTAGACGGGGCTTGCATTGCCTCCTTCATCATCTGTGTCATGGCCCCTAAGGTCCTGACAAACTCACCAACGGCCTCGGTGTTCTCATTACTAGAACTGACTTTATTGGCCCCCCTCCTTGGCATCTTCAACCTAAGACACAAGCACTTGGTTGCTAATCTACCAAACTATTCTAAAGGCACTTCTAAACTCCCTAGGCTAAGAACCCACACCTGGCTTCTCTGATACCATAACTGTCACGACCCCACCCCTTGATCCCTACTGTCTCAAACTGGAGGGCAATAGAGTGTGGGATCATGATTGGAGGTCTCATACGTCACTCAGGTGGGAGTGGCATCAACACGTGTTAAGAGCGCAGAATCAAAGCAAACCACGAGGAATAAATAAAAACTTATCCAATAAGCACTAAAAACTGAATAAATTAAAACTATTAACTTCATTCATCTTCAAAAGTCTTTACTATAAAGTTCGAGGTTTACAAGCATAACATTCATCTCAAAATATTACATCAAATAGAACAACATGTGGCAACGCCACAAGACACCAACAAAGCCTCGAAGAACCCTGAACCAGTTCGAACTCCGAACACCTACTATCACCGATCAGCTACTCGTCACACGCAGTCAGGTACTAACACTCTACACATATGAAATAGGCGGAGCGAGCAATAAGCCCAGGAAGTGGATCACTGCCCTTGCAGTCCCGACTATCAGTATATACATAATAACATGCCCATAGTCCATCAGAAATTGCATTTGTCATACAGAGTATGGCCATACATCAGAGTACATATAATTGCTGTATAAAAATGGTAAGACTCCATTAATAGAGCATTACGTGTTCTCAATATGGCATCAACCATTATACATATAACAGTTACAATCAGGTGTTCGTACAAAATATAGAATTCAGATAGGCAGAACAGATTAAATTACTCTAGAAGTAGAAGCCACATTGATCAGGCTAAGCCCATCCTAAAACTTGAGACTTCTACCCTCATTCGGGAGGGAGGATAATGACAAGTGGAGGTCCCACTTCATAATATTCTTACTCATGCACACATCCCCAGTGCGCTTTGGGGTTTTCGATAGGCTGAGGCCTTACATGAAACGACCCTCTCTTGTGCCCTCAGGTGAGAGGGCGTTACACCACCATTGGAGGACACAATGTGTAGTGCCCAAGACAATTTGGAGGGCACGACCCTCCCTATTATTACAGTCACCTCTCGACTCCACTCCTATCATATGGGCGAGGTATAGTATACCCCACTATCAATGAAGGACTCATTGTGTAGCAGTCAGATAATAGTATTCATATAACAGAATCAAAAATTCTACTACTAATGGAGGACCCATTGCGTAGCAGTCAGATATCAGTATTCATATAATAAAAGCAGAAAGTCTACTACCAATGGAGGACTCATTGTGTAGCAATCAGATATCAGTATTCATATAACAGAATCAACAAGTCCACTACCAATGGAGGATCTATTCCATAGCAGTCAGATATCAGTATCCATATAACAGAAACAGAGAGTCTACTACCAATGGAGGACCCATTGCGTAGCAATCAAATATTAGGATACATATAATAGAAACAGAGAGTCTACTACCAATGGAAGACCCATTGCGTAGCAGTCAGATATCAGTATTCATATAACAGAAACATAAAGTCTATTAGTAATAGAGGACCCATTGCGTAGCAGTCAAATATCAGTATTCATATAACAGAAACAAAGAGTCTACTACGAATGGAGGACCCATTGCATAGCAGTCAGATATCAATATTCATATAATAAAAACAGAGAGTCTACTACCAATGGAGGACCCATTGCGTAGCAGCCAGATATCAGTATTCATATAATAGAAACAGCGTATCCACTACTAATGGTGGACCCATTGGGTAGTGGTCAGATATCACATATATCAGTTGCACCATGTATAAGCATGCATAACATTTATTCATTCGTACTTTATTCCTTTCAAGAGGTCGGGAACATTCAACATTCGTAGGATCATAAGCATGCCATTTCGGTGTCTTATCACCTTGCAAAAGGATTTAAGCTATGTTCAAAAGAAACATTGATACATGACATGCGCATAACTCATAAACAACTTAAATTCATTATTGTTCTTATCAATCATGGGCATATACAGAATGAGGCATAACACCCAAATTACGAGGGGAAGTCAATTAAACTCCAATTCCAATTTGCTAACTGACCATTACTTAATCAATTAAGGGTTCAGCATATCGTTCTGAATCTTGCTGAATTTTTCCCGTAGTGACATATGTTCACACTTCAAATCATAGATTGCATCCTACTAGGAATTTCGAAACAATTTAAACATGCAACTTTTAGTAGACATTCAGAGCTTTCAAATGGCTACGGTTTCGGCGTAATTGGACTCCATTTAGTCAGTCAAAATCTTATTTCAAAAGCATGTATGTTCCCTATAAAATCACAGTCCTCATGGCACATTCCAAAGACGACTCCATAACTTCAAACCCATACAAGATAACAACATGAAACCTTTTCTATCTTAGGCTAGACTCACACACGCATCATTCCACAAAATTTCAAGATCCACAAGAGTAATAACAGTGCCCAACTTGTCATGCAAAGAAGACCTCATTGCTGGAAAACATAATACAATATACATGCTTAACATTATACTTTGTTCATGGAAATTCATGCTTAAATCTCACACTTTCAATTTTATGCTCTTACAACTTAATGCAAGGGGGTAGAAATCCACTTACACAGCCGACAATGGTGCCCTCCAATCTTTCGTCTATAGTCATTCAACTCCAACAATGGCTGCTCCAAAGTGAGGTAGTGAACTTTCCCCAAAACGTGCCTTAGAGAGAGAGAGGGAGATATATATATATATATATATATATATATAGTAGAGT